TACCTGCATGGAATTTGTGAATGTAAAAGTGTATGGAGAGTAAAATTAATGTACAGTTGGTATTAACTCTTTTTTGAATTCATATATGTATCACGACATTTGTTAAACTTGTCCCAACATATCAGATTTGCTTGGTGTTATTAAGCTAACAGTAAATTATACAATTAGAAATTGTAAGAAAGTGTCAGGTAGCATTCTTTCATACATGGCAGTAAATCACAAAACACTGTCTTTAGGCGCTATTCGATTCAAAAACTTCTGAAATGACAGTTTTTGAAATTTCAGAATGCGGTGACTTGAGGTATTCCAGAAGTAATGTACTACATACCCTTTAAACATTTTCTGTTTAATTAACATTATAACCATTGTCTGTGCATTAGATCTATTTGTTTTTAATGTTTGACACTACCCATAATCCTCAGCAAACTGACTTCCTTTGGCACTCTGTTTGTAGTGTCTCTAAGACACCCCCACCCCCTGCAGGCTCGATGGCTAAAGCACACAGGGAGAAGGGGGCTTCACAGCCCAAGCGACTTGGTGATGACCGTCTGCTTCAGTCTGCTGGCAGGTCTGCGGGCAGGAATCTCAGCTGCTCCAGTCAGTCTGTGAGCCCATCATCCCACCATCTGTCAGTGAAGGTGGGAACTTCTGCATTCATGAACAAACTATCTGCTGTTTTTCCATCGCCTTAGCAATTTATTTCCAAAAATTCTTGATCCCATTTTGCTTTATAGCAGTGCTGACGTTATATATTACACAAATACGTTAATTATCACGATCTTCTCGATAAGATGGTAGCATCTAGTAATAGAGATCCTGTGTTTAAATGCCACTGACGTCAAAAGTCTAGGAATATTTTACGGGGAAAAAACGATATGGTATTGGTGCACTGATGTAGAAATTTTGATGGATACCGATAATCATTATATTTTTTTCTAAGTTTGCTGATACTCATACCGGTAACTGGCTAACCTCTAAGCTACTTGCCTGACTTGGGGGGTTGCTGGCACTGATTAGCGGCATGATGTTGTTGTTTTTTTTCTGTGGAAAAAAAATATTGATCTGCGGACCAGATGTAATAATGATAATATTAACTAAAATAATAACTAAATCCCTTGTCCTCCACTATGGAAAATGGCTGATCATCCAATGCAACCATCTCCATTTTTTTTAGTAGTTGTGTCTTCTGCTACTGCTAACTCTGAATATTGATAATGTTCTAATATCAGCCAAGTTTGATACATCAGACCGAATATACCGATGTATTGTAAGCTGTAAAGATCTTATCTATGTCATTAAAATCAGATTCAAACTGCACTAGTTCATGTCTCCTTGTGATATTCTGTATTTTAATGTGATCATGTTTGTCTCAAGTCACCTTCCTCTAGGCTCAGCACCCTTGTGCGCTACTTCATCATGAAAAGTAGTAACCTGCGCAACATCGATCTTTCCCAGCAAAGAGGCATCTGGTCCACCACACCAAGTAATGAACTCAAACTCAACCGTGCCTTTGTGGACAGCAGCGTTGTCTTCCTCATCTTCTCTGTGCAGGGCTCGGGTCAATTTCAGGTACCCTGGTTGTCAAATTTCAGTACAAGTCTGGACATTAAATAGAGTTTAGCCTGCGTTTATTTTCAGCAAGTTACCAAGAATTCATTAATTCAGTGACGATAATTTAATTATTATTCTTATATATAATTATATAATTTTTGCAAAAATACATAAGTCCTTATTGATTATGGTGACTGTGCTGATTGCCCAGAAAACAGTGGTATGTGATTGAACCTGCATTGTTTATGACTGTTGATTTGAAGAGGACATCTGCCTTGTGATGCTGATTAAACCTGTTTTCTCGTGAACTGCCAGGGGTATGCCCGCATGTCCTCGGCTATAGGGTTGGAGCGGTGCCAGGACTGGGGCTCAGCTGGACTTGGGGGGGTTTTCAGAGTGGAGTGGGTCCGTAAGGACAGCCTTCCCTTCCAGCTGGCCCAACAGCTGGTCAACCCCTGGAATGACAACAAGAAGGTACAGATCAGCCGAGATGGACAGGTGGGTTTCTCCGAATTCTGGGCCGTATTTTATAAATGTTTGGGAAAACTTTGCATTTTGGAGTGCATGCAAGAGTCAAGGAAGTTGTTTCGGGGAAAATGCATTAACATTTCAAATATTCATTAATAGTCAAGGGCCTGAGTACAAAATATTTCCTTGATATTACACTGTTGCATAGGAATTGGAGCCACAAGTTGGAGATCAGCTGCTGCAACTATGGGAGAAAATCTAAGCCAAGCAACAATGGCTAGATGTACAGCATCTGAGTGTGGAAACACTTACACATCTAGCTAAAGTTAGGGCCACTTGGATACCCACTGTGGACTTGGCAGGCATGAAGACGTTTATAGGAAGGAGAGAGAGAGACATTTGTAACTGAATTGTTTTCTAACATTCTGCTAATTAAAATGTATTCTATAAAATCTAAGCTGTACAAGAAATTTAATGCATCTTTTTGTCCCTTAACACACTGTCTCATCAGATGAAAGTCATGAAAATTTATAGAACCTCTATCGAAGATGTAGCATTTTCTTCTATAAATTTGACTGGAAAGGTTGTAATTACACTCAAGGAAATGCTGAAAATGTACTCTGCACTATGAAGTTTTCTTCTTGTGTCAACTTTATAAAAGTTACATGTTTACACTTTGATCATCTTTAAAACCTGATTCCTGAGTTTCATGTGAAATTTGTTTTTCGTTCTCACTTGAAACTTTCGAAGTGAACAGTTGTGAGTTTGTATTCTTTTACTCTGTATAGGACAATTGGAAGTAGATGATTACAGAATTGTAGTGTGTTTTTGCAGAATTTGCGTGCAAGTTGGGCTATGTTTATGCCCAGTGAAAGCACGTCTCATTTGTTAGAAACTGGAAGTGTGTGTTGATTCTACGTTTGTTCTCTTTCAGCTCTGATTAAGCATAATAGGTTATTTATGATAATATTGAAAATAAATCCCCTGTCAGTTTGTTTTATTCTAGTTTTCGTTCACACTAAGCTGAAGTCTAAGCCTGTGTTAAGTACAGTGTACTGCAATGGCTGAGAAAATATAAAGCAACAGATTTTTTTAAAAATATACCATTGAATGTTTTACATTTTACCAAAATTTGTTAATGTCAGCTAATTTAACTTTCTTTTGGTAAAATTGTTGCTGTATTTTGAAAATTTCATTTTTAGTTCATGAAAATGTCTAAACATTTTAACATTGGCTTCCTTTGATTTTGTGTAAATACGTGTTAATTTTTTTTTATGTTTTGATTTAATGACTGACAGCTGCCCTTTTATCGTTGAATTGTATTAGTACATTACCTTGTATCTATGAATTAAAGAATATGAATCACAAAACAGTGGCATTGCGGTTTCATCATTCTGTCAGTATTGCTTGTTCTGGCAAGGAGATTATCTAATTTCATTCCTGTTTAACAAATCCTTTCAATACAGATGATGATATGGAAAGATGGAGGCACCTGCAGTAACATTTAAAATATCAGTAGATGTGGAATCACTGCCTTTCAAAATCGAAATTCAGTCGTGGCAAATCTTACGATTTACATCCCTGATACTTATCTGCATTATATAAGGCTTGGGTTTATTTACATATTTGTATGCAAAATAGGTGAACATGAGAACACACCGGTGTTCTTCCCACAGGTGTAACTGGTCATAAATTGTAATTTACAACCTAACCAATATCTCTTTTGTTAAATGTTTTGCTTTAGAAGTGTGCTTAAGGTCTTAAACGTAGATGCAATAAAATTCTGACACTTTTTGGGGTCACTGCACATCAAGTGCTAACTTGATATTTGGATTCTGATTTATTCTTCACAAATGTTCTGTGGACAGAAGAGGCATAACTTCTGTAGTTGAACACATAATTCCCATCAAAAACATAGTCATAGTTTACCCAATAAATTTAAGAAAAATACAAACTTAAGTATGATGTCAGCCTTATGCAATTGCAGACAAAATGATTCAGAATACAAGCTATTTCTCAGTCGATTCAAGCCGGCCTGACATTGTGCACAACCCTAACCCACAGGTCGGCCAGTGTCTCACCCCTGCATGCTGAAGATTTTGCCCTGCAGGTAAGCCAGCTTCTCCGTGCGGGACTGACGCAGCAGGGGCAACCACTCCCACGGTGGCAGATCCACCACCCTGTACCCAACCAGGGCAAGCTGCCTTCTTTTGAGCACTTGTAGACCAAGCAGCTGCTGAGACTGATAGCAGAAATGGTTTCTAGTAGACACCTGCACTGCTATGAACTGGGCAGTCCCACCATTCGACACCCGGAGGGAGACTGGGTGCCGGGCTGGACTTCTAAGAGCTTCCAGAAAACCACTGGTGAGGGTGACCCCACTTGTAAACATCCTCTCATCATCTTCTTGCTCCTTCTTTAGCTGGACCCTGCATGGCTTAGAGTGAAGAGGCATCTCATTATGAGGCCGTCCTAGACTTCTTAAGCTCGTCAGTTGAGCCAGCAAGTCCTCTGTGATCATAACCCCAGTGTGGTCCCCCTCCCAAAATGGTGGCCTGGATGAAGCTCTCTTCACACTTTTAGCATTACCCTTAGGCTCAGAGTGGAGTGGTATGGGGCACCCCTCACTGTCCAGCCGCAACTCCAGGTCAATCGAGCGTGTGTGTGGCAAGATCATGCGCTTGTGCACAAAGGCCTCTCCACCGAGAAGCTCCTGCAACAGTTCTTCTGCCTCCAAAACCTCTGCCTTCAGGCATACATCCTGCTGGGCAAAGGTCCACAGCTGCTGTTGTATCTGCTCAGTCAGGGCTGGGCTGATCCTTGGGCCTTTCCAGTTAGGGATCTCTAAACCTACAGATGAATCCAGGGTGAAAAGGTCCTTTTTCAGGTCCAGGTGCTGAGATCCAGTTGCGAGCCTGACAAAATCTTCACTCAAGGCAAGTTTTAGAAGATCCTGAGGGTACAGGCCTAGGAAGGCCAGGCCGAGGAGCCCAGTCAGCAAATGCTGAGGAAAGTGCTGTAATTCCACCTCTTTCAAGCGCATGGCCTGGGTGAGGCAGGGGTACAGCTGGGGAACTTCACTAGGGGGAAAACCCAACATGCCAAAAGCCCACAGCAGCTTACCAGCATCCTTACTCCTGCAGAGAGGTGCAAGAGGTGGTAGACACTGAGCCACAGCTAAGAGGATATCATCATTCCTGTAGTGCAGTGAAGAGCAGGTCAGGGCCACATGCATGAGGCCCTGGATTCCCATCCGAGGAGCACGGCGTGGAATCTCACACCTCAGGGCCCAAAGCAGCCCACGGTGGTCCAAGTGATTGAAGCGCAGTAGCTTGAGAACATTGACCAGAGCGTAATCGCTCAACTCCTCCACTAGGTGGTGTGCCTGATCGGCGAGCCTGCGTGCCGTCCATGCGGATAGGCTGCTCTGGGATTTGAAGAAGGCAAGGCTGACAGTGCCCACTTCCTCTGGCAACAGAAGGTTCAGGTGTTTTAACAGCAGCAGCTCCAAGGGAGGGAGTAAAGCGGGGGGGCATCTCCGGCCCTCTCCTATTACATACAGTAGCTGAACTAACTCTGCCAACTCGAGCTGGTCCAAGACCCGCGCAGCGCAGGTGTACACCAGCTCCAAGTAACGCGGCACCTGTCGAACCAGGCAGCGCCAGAGATCAGCAGTCAGCAGCAGCTGCCGGAATTCCATGTCTTCCACGCGGCAGCTGAATTCTGCCTCGTACAGAGTGAGGATGCTGTGAGTGGCCGGGATATTCAGCCATACAAAAGCACGCAGGACCTCTAGAAGCTGAGCGTGGGAGAAGAGGCACAAGCTCTCGACACTGTACCGTAACAGCATAGAGAAGCGTGTGTCGGAGTGTATGAGGGGTTGCTGTTCAGGAGCCACGTGACCTAACTCACTCAGAAAACGGACAATGTCAGCAGACCTTAAACTGCCCTTCAGTTCAGTGACATCATGGAGAATTTCGAAGGCCTTGTCAATAGTGATGGAGGGAGGGGACAATGACAGGTCATGGCTCATGGTGCGGTACTCTGGACGGCACCTCTGGAAAGCACGTGGGTCACCTCTGACATCAGGAGGCAGCCTTACGCCATCCGTAGGTTGTTCAGCTACTTTTGACCTATCCCCCCGGTTGAAGGCTAAATCCAGTAGGGTGTTCTTGGCACTAGAGAGGTGGCGAGAGGAGCGGACAGTGTAAGGATTATTTCTCTGTCGGAAGGGAGACACGAACGTGCCGGATGTCAGCTCCTCATCCGCATGAGTCCCCACCAAGACAGCCGAGTCGGGGTGAAGCCGGTGATACGCAGACGGATTGTACTGCACCCTGTATTCCCACACGCCAGGCATTTCTCTTCCTCCTTCTTGCTTCTCCTCTTCCTTCTTTTGTAAATCATGGTCTCTGTGTAAGAAGCGGGCCTTCAAAACCTCCCTCCTGGAGGCTGGTGGGAGCAGGAGGAGACGGTGGACACTCCAGCCCCGACTCACAGACATTTATCCCCAGTGCTGCAAGACACAAAATTGTTTGTAACAACAGTGACATTCAGGAATAAAACACAAACACGCTACTCATTTTATCTGACTGTTTAGTGCACATAGGTCTCAAGGCCATGTTGTGCCGGCAGCACAATTCTTTATGGCCCATGAAATGATTCTGATATTCTGTATAAAAAGGCCTTAGAATAGGGGTGTAATGGTGCAAAAATTCAAGGTTCGGTACAAACCTTAGTTTTGGGTTCATGATTCGGCACAATTTCAGTACAGCAGAGAAAAATCATTTAAAAAGAAATTTAGTTATTATTAAAACTGCAAACATAAATACAATTAGGAACAAATGTAAACCAAAGAAAATGTGTCTGACACTGAGATAACAAATAACAAAACCTAAACTGCACAATTACATCATAATGAACTAAAGCCCATGTTCTCTACTACTGAGTATGGTCACAATCTGTAGCGATAAACACCCCTATAGCTGTTATTACATTATCTTTAGCTGTGTTTTTTTTTGTTTTACAGGGTCTGAATTTCCTGGAGAAAGCACCTTAAATGCCTTGGTGACACTAACTTGCAGAGGCAGTTTATACCTTGCTTCAGTCATCAGATAAAAGCAGATGAATAATAGTTCATCAGCACATTGGATGCATTTTATTTAGGCCTAATTTTATATCTTCATAGAGGTTTCTGTATTTCATTGTTTTATTTAAAAAGGGAATTTTCTAGAAAAATGTTTACTACAAAGTTGATATTTGTAAATGTTATTCACATATAGTGAAGATCTCAACAAAGTAATTGCAAAATTTGGGTCATGCTGTTACTAATTAAATAAATAATTCTTGGTTGACCTGAAAATTCATTGGTGGTTTTTAATATGGCCCTTTTAGTGACTGAGTTTGACAACTTAGTGTTTACTCATAAGAATTTTAAAAACACAGTTCGCAGTGAACGTCATTCTTTAATATCCTAAACATGCAAGATACACCAAATGAAGATTACAAGTAGGACTCACCCTGGCTATAACTACATACATGTGCATGGATCTGTTAAGAGGTCATTGTGAAGATGACAGACCCCAGCATACATAACTGCATGTTACAGTACTCAGGGAAGAAACCCACACAGCATGAAGCTAACATGCAACATATAACATAATAAACGCAGACCACTGCACGTCTTTACTTAAGCTGATGGACTAACAATAGTTTGATATGTATAGCTCTTCTTAAGATACTGTAAATTAAAAAATAAACTGGAACGCCAGCATCCTGTCTAGTACTTTCGGAAACAGGATTCAGGCACACCGCAACCGCGTATGGATAAGCAGTTAAAGATAAATCATCGTTAAATATATGTCTACTTACACGATATTCGTTTTTCCACATACAAATCATTTGGCAGAATTTAATTGCGACTAGGTCAGCCAGGGCGGCTACTTTTTTGGTAAGAAAAGGTCAGCAGCCACGATGATACAGATACAGTAGCGTGTGGTACGGTGCCCTGGAAAGGACAAACAGAGCTGCCCAAACTAGCTTGACATTTATGCCTTCGACACTTTCGACACAGGCTGCCGCCATTCCACCTTACATCTATTCACTAGTTTTATAGTGGTAAATTATTAACCGAAAACAGTGATGTTACAAGAATGGCATCCTAATGTGGACATTTGGACATGTTGGGTGGGCTCGATAAAAACTTATCTAGAGGGCATGGGGCCGTAAAGGGGGGAGAAAGGTAGGACGATTCCAATGGGCTCTGAGTGACAGGAGTCCTAAAAAAATTTACACATAATTTTATATTCTTTTATTGGACACTCACTTAAGTTTCATTTTCAGAATACGTTAATTACGATCTCAAATATAAATAAATATATGGATTTGTTTTCTTGATTTTCGTCAAAAATAAGTAAATCGGACTTCCTCTGTAATCCCCTTTGTTTTAGCCGAAATGAATTTAGTTTTGCCGTCGTCTCTCGACACACTAGTTAGCCGAAATTTGCTAACTAGCCTAAGTTTGAAGAAGTGAAGTGCATAAATTACAGAAATTTCTCATAATCAGAGAACATTAAGTTTACAAAATGTTTAAAGAGAAAAGAGAGGACAACTGCTCACTCAGTGAAAGGGCCCTTTATACTGTACTTCTAATTCTATAGCTAAGGTTAACGGGAACTCTACCGGCATTCACACTCTACCGCTGGGTGGCGCTAACACAAATACGGTCCAATGACACATGAATTTTATAGAGTTACGTTTTCAATCACTTTATTGTTTAACTTTAATAAGAGAGACACTGAGAATAAAGCCAAAGCAGAGGTTGAAGTCACTTTATTATACGGGCTGAACCGATAGTTCACACGTTAAAATGTACGCAAACACGCAAAAGCGGCACCTGTTTCAAGTGTTTGTAAGATCAGCTTGCTAGTTCAAGAAATAACTATATAATGAAATGCCCTTACTAACTTATAATTTTCTCATGATAATGGTTTACAGTCTGCTGTTTTATTCTAAATTTAACTTGAAGAAAGCTAACATAATACATACGCGTTATCTAAGTCAGGGGCCTGTATCGCGAAGCAGCTAATATTTCTTGCGTAAACGGATAACTTGTAAGATTTAAACGGACTTTATCTTCGTTTATTTACATTTAGAGAAGACTGTCTTACCCTACGAAAAATAGTCCCGTACATGCCCCCCCCTAAAAAATGCCGTGGGCAATTTTTAATCCCAGTCCAGCATCGATTAGATCCATGATTAAAAGAATTTCTTTCCTTCTTTTTTTGAGGGTTGATTTATGATGATAATTGATAAGCTTTTCACAATATCTGTCCTGTTAACTTTCAAGTAAAAGTTACATGTATATTCAGTTTATTACTGAATTCATGCACCTTCTCACATTAATACATTAATGGTGTGACCAAACGTCAGATTATGAGAATATTTAAAGCAGTTTTATAGTTGAGAAAACTAAATGACTTTGAAATAAATCATTTAGATGCGCTAACTTTTTTGGTAGGAAATTAGAAATACATTGATCATCACAATTATCAATTATTAAAAATACTGCATTTGTTATGTTATTGTAAAGAAGCTATGTTGACTGGTAGTGACAAGGGTTTATCACTGAATTAGTGCGTGATTTGCAAGGTTTCTTTGGGGGGACTGGGTGTGTGTGTGTTTGTATATACTACATTGTGGAGACATTTCTTCAGTCCCCACAAGGGAGAATTTAGTTTAGTTTGGTTACTTTTAGTTCATTTTAAGGTTAGGGCTGGGTAATGATTACGGCTGTCGTTGGGATTAGGGTTACGCCCATAGAAATTAATGGAGAGCCCCCGCAGAAACAGGCATAGCAGAGCTGTGTGTGTGTGTGTTCACTTGTGGTTGCCAGGGCTTCTGAGGGAGTTTATGGTGGTCATCAGCTTTTACAAGTGTAGTAGCATTTTATTCTCTCAAACACTACGAGAGTTACATGTATTACGTTAATGTTAAAAAAAGACATGTTTTGAATGTTTGGTTCATTAGTAGAAGTGAAAGTTCTATATATTAATAAAATTAAAAAAATAAAAATTAAAGTGTGTCCTTTCACAATACTGGTATTAAATTATTCACACACAGTAGCATTACTGGAATAAACATGTACTCATTAATAACAATGGTATTTACAACCAAATATACTGCCTTTGAGTTTTGTACCAAAAACACAACAGGACACAACAGATGAACATAGCAGCACGTCTGACCCATATTACTTAGAAAGGGACAGAATCAGTAATCTGTATCTCATCCTGTGGCTATTTCTCTCTTTCAGTCTCTTGTTCTATTTTTAATAATTGAGAACACAAAACCTTCATTTGAAGTGATGTACTTCACACTCATCATTCCAATGTTCATGTACGTTATTAAGAATTTATGACCATTTACTGTCATCAGTCACGTTCAGTTTATCAGTCATCCTGAGCTGTTGTCTTTCAGTTCTTTTGAAGTATCCCTCCATATTCGTTGCTTGTATCTCTTCTCATCCTCTTAGCCCTGTGCTGTGCCCCACCAGTCACCCACAGTCCTCGCCTTCACTTCACGTGCACCGCCTCCCATTCAAATGCATAGTATCCACTCACAATCTTGCTTTCAAGACACACTACTGTACTATTCTTTTACATGTTGCTGAATCGCACAGTTGGAAGTTTATATTTTGGAACAACATTCAGATGTGATCTTCTCTAGTATCCCTTGGTTTGTTTAATCATTTAAGCAACCATTAAGATTTCTGCCTGTTGGGAGTTTTTAATTGACAGTTCTGATGAATTTGGGTCCCACAGCATCCCAGATGCTTTCCATGTTTAGCCTTTACCCACTAAAGCTCTATCGCAGTGCCTCCATAAACTCTACTGGTCATATCATAATATTCCCAGGCATCGCTTTCATCGTGTCTAAGATTATGATGCAATCCTAATTCACTTTAGACTGTCAAACCTGTCACTATTTTCATACTAACAAAGACCCTCTCATAGAGTAGTGATTACAGAGCATACAATATCTGGGTCAGCTTGGTGTAACTTTTTCCTTCTCTGGAATTTTGGTTGCTTCACATACAGTTTGACCTGCTATATGACTATGAGAGATGTTCAAGTGAAGGAGTATCTGTATCCAAGTCAAAGACACAAACTAAATCAGTGAAGGCGAGTGGAGGAATTAAACAGATGTGATTATCAGTGAGATTGTACACGGCTTATGGTGAGATGTTCGTGATATTTAAGCGTCAAGGTTTATTAAGGTTATCTGTCTGCATGTATCCAAAGCTAGGTCTAGATTTGCATGGAGATTTTGGTAAATGCTGTTCAGTCATATGCCAGTCTAATGGTCCTAATATGCTGTTAAAATTATTAACATTGGCGTCTGGCTTTAAAATACTCAGAATTCCACAAACACTGACTGGATATGTCCAGTCAGGAAAGAACTTCTGAAGTAGATACAAGCAAAAACCAAGTAATATTAACCCAAACCCACACTGAACAAGCTGATATTGATTTTGGTTCTCCTGTGGATTTGGTGTGGTTATAATGGTTATTGCTCCTATAGACCCTTACTGGTTCTGTATCCTTTTTGTTTGGAGGGAGATATGGTGGAAACACTATCGTACTGGGTGGCTAAAGGCCTAGATCTCTGTGGACTCAATCCTCTCCAGGCGAGAAGCAGCCGGCCAAGCGGGGGTCAGCTGGTGCAGGGCAGTGGACTTCGTGTCACTGGTGGAAGGTGGGCTGTGGAGGTCAGTGGGTGGCTCAGGTAAGGATGGAGAAATGGGTGGGGGTGAGGTTCCTTCCGTCCCGAGCTGGCTCACTTGACGTTCCAGCACCTGGTTCCTCTGCAGCAGCTCCACATAGCTGAGCTGCAACTGTGCTTGGTACTGTAGCACTCGCTGTTTCTCATCCAGCCAGCTGTGGCGCTCCTGAGCAAAGCTGAGGGCCTGCTGCTCTCGCTGCTGTCGCTCTAAACGCAGCGCCCCCTGCAGGCGCTCCAGCTCCCGTTGCAGATCCCCGGCCTCCTCCAACTGCCGCTGGGCCTTGGCCTCGTCACTCTGCAGACTCAGGAGGGTGTCACCCCCTGAAGAAGGTGGAGGAGGGGCTGCCTCTGTGGGGCTCGGGGTCAAAGGTAGCCCCCCCCAGGCCCTCCCCACCCCTCTGTTCACTTTGCCAAGGGCTCTTTTCAAACTCTCAACCTCTGCCTCAAAGGTACCCAGCTTGTCCCTCAGCTGAGATACCTATGAAGAAACAGAAAGGCAGGAGGTAAGAGACAGAAAGGCAGGAGGTAAGAGACAGAAAGGCGGGAGGGTATGAGACAGAAAGGCAGGAGGGTATGAGACAGAAAGGCGGGAGGGTATGAGACAGAAAGGCAGGAGGGTATGAGACAGAAAGGCGGGAGGGTATGAGACAGAAAGGCGGGAGGGTATGAGACAGAAAGGCGGGAGGGTATGAGACAGAATGGCGGGAGGGTATGAGATAGACGGAATAAACAAGACAGAGCTAACAAAATGTAAAAGCTGCACCTTATCTGCCCTGATTGGGGGCACCCACCTCCCTGAGGGTCCTCTGCAGCTCCCCCTCACAGTGCTCCAGCTGCAGGCTCTTACTGCTATACGAGCCCTTCAGGCTCAGTGCCGTCTCCTCTCTCTCCTTCAGCTGAGCACTTAGCTCCTTCAGCTGGGCTCGTAGGGCCACCGTCTCTCCCGCGCGCTGCGTCACCTCCCCCTGGCTCTCACGCAGTTGCTGTTTCAGCAGGGAGATCTCCCCAACCTTCTGACATACCTGCAAAGAAAAAATGTTGCAGGGGGTGGTGTCCTCCACCGCTAGCTGATTACGTCACGGTGTGACCCCCACGCTCACCTCCCACTTGGTCTCTTCCAGCCGAGGGAGTATATCTGCTTGCTGTTTTCTGTAATCCAGGCACCTCCTCTCCAGCTCCTCCCGGTGGGTAAGCAGTGCGGTGATCTCATCCTGAAGCCGCCGCTTGTCCTGCTGCAAACGGGCGACCTGTGCTTGCAAGGCATGCTGGGAGCGCAGAGCTTTGCGTGATACCTGCTGCAGCCGCCCCGCATAATTCTGCCTCAGCTCGTCCATCTCACGCTCCCAAACGCGCTGCTTCTCCTCAAACACCTGCGCAATCGCCACCTCACTCTGGTCCAAGTTTCGCCGCATATGGAGTACCTGGGTAAGGCGGATACAGTTAATAACCCTTAACCCTAACCCTCCTAAGGCTGTCCGCTCATATTGCTTCAGTTTCACTTTCATTACCATTACTGAAAACTATCATATGGACTGTTTTTGGAATTCATAATTTGGATTTTAATGGTTTTACAGAATTTCAGTACTTATTGTTTTTTTTTCCATTATGGTTTTACATTGTGGCCTAATTGTAGCTTAAGAAGTAGATTATTGTAGTAACAATGCACCAGGTGGGGGTTCATATCTCTGGGAGTTTACATTAAAAAAAGAAAAAAGAAACTCTTAACTCTAACCTTTAAGTCGCTTTGGATAAAAGCATGAGTTTAATATAATTGTGTTTATTGCTAGCTAGTTTATTGGTTCAGTATTGTAACTTTATTGCTAAATCAAGAAAAGGACACAAGAGTTTAGTCCTTTATACTCATAGTGTCCATAGTAATTAAATAGTGTGATTGTGCACACAGAGAACAACACAAGCCTTGCTGCTGTAATGGAGTAGCTATCCTTCCCAAAACTCTCCATCACGTCCATTTAGATGTCCAAGTGTCACCTCCTGCTCTCGTTCCCACAGGCGGTCCTCCAGGTCCTGGATGATGTCGTCACAGGGCGGGGATGTCTGCAGGGGGAGTGGCCTGTCACCAGGGCGACTGAGGCGCTGGCAGCAGGAGGAGGAGGAGCGCCCACTGTCAGACGCACTGAGGCCATTCTGGGCGGCTGTGCCTAGCTTGTTGATGTGGCTGGTGGAGGCACTGAGAGGCCCTAGTGTGTGGGCTGGACCGCAGCTGGAAGCCGAGCCGGCATAGGTAGGCAGGCTGGTCAGCGAGTTCCTGCCCGAGTCCGACAGCCCACTTTGACCAGTGCTGTTCTCAGCCCCACCACTAGGGCTCTCCTGCTCCCTCTGCCTCCCCGGTACACAGGGGGCCCCACCTGAAACCTCACCACGCCCCCCTCCTGCACCTCCTGCAGGTGGGGCAGATAACAGATTCTGCATGGAGTGGAAGCTTCTGGGTACCACGGGTTTAAAGGCAGAGGGCCGGACTAGACCATCAGTACTCTGAAGGAGAGATACAGAAAAGCGGACAAGTGATGTGATGATGAGAGACGGCAGTATTCTCTGGTCTGAGCCTCATTTCACATCCGTCTGGCCTGCATGCACTTTCGCTAAAGCGATGTGACCAAATCACCCGATGCATTGGTGTGAGTCTGTGGTATCGTGTCCCGGGTGTCGCCTGCCCTGAGCTCTGCCTGATCGGGGATAAAATCCAGGCTGGTGTTCAACAAAGTGGAAGGATGGAACAAATCTTAGTCATGATAATTTCTCAATCAGTATCATGTTACAGTCAGAGGAAGTTTTAGTGTTTTTCCCTCCCTATCACTATATATGATATTTAGTGGCCTTTGCATGAAAAACGCTTCTGTGTCTTCTTCCATACACACACGGATGCACACGTAGACACAAGTACACACGTGTATACATAGACTGATATATAAGTAGCCATTTTCGTACCTGCTCTTGTTTGCTAGATACAGGTTTCATCCTCGGGACGTTGTTGTTGTTTTCCGGCTTGCTCCTTCTCTCTCGGCAGTGCGCCCCCTGCTGGCTAACATTCTTCTTCTTCTTCAGCACCACACTATTTCCACAGATGTCCAGGCCTCCTCTGCGCCCCGCCCCATTCATAAACACGCTGTTGGTCACCAGCTGACTGCCACTGGAGACGGTACAGTCGCTGCTGGAGACAGCGTGGTCGTCTTTGGAGGCCCAGCGGTCACTGTGTGGTGTGTGACTCTCGCAGGTGTTTGTAGATGTGCGTTCAGTGCTGTCAGGAGCAGCTAGGGCTTGGGGTCTCTCTGCACTGCAGCCACGCCCTCCCGGGGCCTGCTGGGCGTGACACGGGCCCTGTGGGGGGCTGCTCTGGGTTCGCGTCCCCACACTCCTTAGGGCAAACTCTTGCTGGCTAGACACCCCACTACCCACGCTCCCCATGGCAGTAAACCCCGCCCCCTCAGGCCGATGCCTGCAATCCACACACTCCATGGCAGGGAGGGGGTCTGGGCCAGACAACGGACACACACACTGCAAGCGGGGAATGAAACGGGATGTCAGCACAAGAGGCAGGAAAACACTTAAACAGACCTAGAGACCTATAGAGTATTAACAGTGTATGAATAAGCTAAATGCATTCAAATAGTAGCAGAGCATCTAAGACAGGGGTCACCAACCTTTTTGAAACTGAGAGCTACTTCATGGGCACTGAGCCATACGAAGGGCTGCCAGTTTGAAACGGCCTCCTAAACTTATCTAAACTTCATGTATAATAAACATGTTTTAAATAGTTTTTTTTTTTTTTTGATATTGTCATTTTCAAATCCATATAAATGCAAATGTGATTAAAGATGAATAACAACAGGATAAAATTTTAGACGCTGCTCACTGGTGAGTTGGGCTATTTTTAGAACAGGTCCGCGGGGCGACTCATGTGGTCCTTGGGGGCGCCCTGGTGCCCGAGGGCACCATGTTGGTGACCCCTGATGTAAGATATACAATACAGTGTCATGTTTGAGTACATATGCAGCACGTGAGTCTAGATCAGAGCTAAATCACTTTTCATTGCCTGTTGTTTAGTGGCATCTATTATTGGCATCATGTAGAACAATACAGAGAGGAAGCCAGACTATATGTATAGAGGAAGGTGTTTGTATTAAAATGGATTGTCCAGATAACTGCATATCAGGTGTACTCTACAATTGTATCACTTTGTGAGTGTACGGTGCTTGTGAAAACTATGAGAGTTATGAGTCTATTACCTTAAAATATGTGTATGGAGATGCAAATATCTCTACTACCTACATTTTATTTTAATTAAAAGATTAATGTGGTCAATAGAAACCATCACTTTCTCTCCTAATTATTTCTTGAATGCAACAAAGTTTCATATATTAAAATAGGAGACAAACAATTTGAATAAAACATTGTAATCAGTCTCATACTGATTGACTATAATCAAGCAGAATTGTAAAATGGCATTACACTGTAATAAAAGTACACGCAATTATTGCTGTAACACAGTTCATTCAGTAGGGGGCAGCCACCTCTATGTGGCCAGACAGGCACGTGCTGACACCCCCCTCACTGCAATAGTCAGTCACTCATAAGCATTACATCATCGCCCCCACGATCTTCATTATGCACTCGTTCACATGCTTGCAGCTATGTTCACTTCCTGTTTTTAAATGCTTGGTAATGCAGGTAGTCTTCGTTATGCCTTACTTTTCCATTCACACTGACAAACGCAGGGGCATACCTAGAAATTCTGGGACCCCTGACAAAATTTTATTTTGGGCCCCCACCCAATTTTACATATTATTTTACTTATGCAAGGGCTCCTACCAATTGCTGGTCCCCCTGAATCTACCAGGATACCTGTGCCTTTCTACACCACTGGATACACACCTGCCAATCTGCACCCCATTCCTCTCTGAAGTAGGTGTATTGTAAAACTCAAGCACGTCACTTTTAATGGCACATTTTATTTATTTATCCTCCATAAGCATAGATACATAAAAACACATTTAACTACACTTCTATGTGATGATGTAGCTGTTAAAATGTATCACTGTTTTGTTGTTCTGATGTTAGTCCAGTGTTAGCCAGTGGATTCACATAATGAGTTGGCTGCATCATAACTGGAATGAGTTTGTGTAAAATGCTTTTTAAATGACAGTTGGAGGTTGTTGGGTAATGAGAGAAACCTCCTAACTATATTTACTACCCCCGAATAGTACATCTTTCATTTTCAAACTTATTCCATTCACACTTTCCCAGTTTTCACTGCATATCAGGGGAAAGTATATCACTGTGTGAGTGTATGGTGATTGTGAAAACTACAAGTTATGAGTCTATTACCTTTAAATAAGGATACAAAGATACAAATATCTGTGCTCATGTACATATTTTCATCTGAATCTTGTACACAGCAATTTAATATTTCTTTACTCTGCCTACTACCAGTGCTCTAATAATTCTGTTCACTGGGATCCCTACATATTCCCTTATTAAATCCTTTACATCTCGTTACACAGCATCTCTTGATCATTTTAAGAATAAGTATTTCCATAAAAATACCCATGGACTCGTCACTGTACTCCTCAACCCCAGCAATTCACTTTTCCATTCATAAAGGACGGTATATCAATGTGCCCAACCCACAGAAATACACACGTTTGTCCTTCCTACAGCTTATTTTGCAATTATCTACGCACGTCACTAACGGTTATACTACAGCCGCTACAACAACCAGATGGGCTAACGGGCAGGTCGAGGGGCAACTGATCCTGTGATGCTTCAGCCCAAAAGATGAATAGCATAGCATCTTTTCGTTTCGATCATATCATTCAGAACCACATGAATTATTTCTATCCATGTTCTGGCATTACATAATGGGTGCCAGCACGCGACATCGTTCCCCAGACTGGATTTCCAAGAGAAAGCGAACCTCGGTCACAAACCGCAGATGCTCTGCATCTTGCTCCAGTCTCCATTCCCACATCGTCTTTACCTCCAGTGATAAACGTTGTCAAATTCGGCATCGATCCCATTAAATTCGCCGTAGATGCATCACTCTAATCGCCCTAATGTCTATGCCATTCTGCGTCTCAATTAAAACATGACGCATTGTTTATTTATCATTAAGGCAAAGGAAACGCAGGTGAAGAGAAGCTTTTGCTGCGGGTAATTCTGCATGGGAAACCTCGGTTCGGTTATGTCGCACAGCGCTGTTATACTTACTATCAGCAGGTGCACAGTCAGTCCGCGTGCGATTATGAAAATCAGCTCGGTTTTTTGCCCTCAGCCCCCACTGGATCGCTTCAGACGCTTCTCTGCGATATTGCCTGTAGCTGAAATCGGATGATAGAAACTGTATCAGCTGTCTTACACACCCACCTCCGCTCCGCCCACTCCGCCACGCGCGAGCACGCTCCTTCGCCACTCAGGCCCACTGCGCATGCTCCTGCACACAACCCAGCAGCCCTGGACTCAAAATTAAGTTGAGCAGTTGGGGTATGTGACGTTATATGTAGCGGTCGCCATGACATCCCTCACACAGAGACTGCATTCTTATAAGGTCATGCTTGTGTTGCAGTTGTAGTCAATACTGTTCTCATAATACAATCAGTACTTTGTTTTTACAATCCAACTCCACATTATATTATTTTTTTTTCTTTCAAAAGTATTCCCCATGTATCACCAAAATAAACACTTCCTTTTACAGTACAGGGCATGCAGCACCAAAAAGGATACCTAGCAGTGACTGTCCAGAACTACTGGTGGATATATGATATATCAGTATGTGCAAAAGCAACTTCTCAAACAGAAATCATTACAAAACATTCCCCGTGGCTCTGCAAAACCAATCACACATGAACACAAAACATAATACACACAAAATGTACAAGATATAATCAACTCAGAAGTGCCATAGAACACATGCGTGTGCCATAACTACAAGCCACCGCCTTCAAGTTTTTAATGTTCTCGCTTTTACAGACGTCAGAAATCAAAAGGGCTATGTTACACTTTCAGTTTTGCATTTCCATAACTAGACATGTCTATTCTCTGGCCTGTACACTGAAATATACAACTGAGATATTTATGCATAATGTAAAATAGGGAACAGAAATGCTTATGCATTGGCACATGGGATGCGGATTGACCATATTCTCATCCTCACACATGAACAACAATGAGGCAGTGATAAGAGACGGCAATGATGGCCGATTTTTCATCTCCACCCTCTCCAGCCTTCGTCATGGTGCTGTAGCACTGACACCTAACATTTTTCTGAAGTCGTGCAACTAGGACAGGGACACATGCAGACAAGCACAGAGAATCATTCCCACGGGGCCTCTACATCCTGCTCCATTCACAAATTCGGTGGTGAAATCACAAATGTGCCCAGGTTACTATGGCGATGTGCTCCAATCATGTGACAAAGGAGAAATAAAAAGCAAACATGAGGCAGGAAAGGAAAAAGAGAACATGACATATTATGCTGATAAAAATACTGACACTTCAGAGTTATGAGAGTTCAGCTTGCCAACACTGTAACTAGAATTCATATTTTATGACATTGTACCGCATTTTGCTGTGTGATACTATTTCAGGAAATACAGTAATCATGTCCTGCTATGTCAGATGTTATTGTGAATGTTAAGGATAATAGGGGAGTTACAGATAGCAGATTAATATTTCCACCTCAGTAATAATCACAAGATGTAATGATGCACTCGTGATAGGGAACCATGTTAGTAGTAGCGCTGGGAGATTAATTGAATTTTAATTTCAAGTGCAATTTTGGCTTACAATGGTTATCAAAACAAAATAATCAAGATAAAAGATTGTCCTGCTGCATTTAGTTTTGCAGTGATGCTCCTGTTTTGTTATGTGTTATAAATCTAGCACACACCTTTGCTGTCCCTTCTGTTTGTTTCTCAGTTGAAATGTATTTCGGGTTCAAAGAAATCTACTGCTAAAAAGACACGTTTTTTAGAAGTTCCATAAATTCACGATATTTCCAAAGGCAATGAGTGATCATCTTAAATAATTGTGATCTCAATATGATAAAAAAAATTAAAAACTGATAAACTGTTGATATGGAACTTCATAGTACACATCAGCCTAACATACCACAGAAACGAATGCAATTCCAACCAATTATATGGTAGTCTTTGAACGGACCCTACACCCAAGAAATGCACAGTAAGATTGGTTGAGCTAGCGGAGTACGACTCGTGCTGCTGTTTCGGTAGTAAACATTAATCATGGGCGAGGTTAGCACTCATTCAGAGGACACTTCAGGTGTCAGTGAAGAAAGCAACAGCTCAGTAGCTGCAGTATATTGTAACTGGATTTGCCTCGTGGGTCATGTTTATTAACTGATATTGATAAGCGCAGTTTGGACGCGGTTGAAGGTGTTGGCACAATCTTTAGTCCATTTGAAGGGCTGCCCCTTCTTGGTTCTGGCAAAGTTCTTCACGATAGGAGGCATGACCCAGAAACCTGCGTAGTTTGGAGAAACTTCGCAGGGTGGGCCAGATCGCCACAACCTTTCTGGGGTCTGCCACCATGCCCTCATGGCTCCCTACAAGAACCAGGAACTGTTTGTCTCAGCAGGAGGGATGAGGAGCTATGGAGATGGCAGGGAAGATGGGACACAAGTTGTTAAGTGGGGCTGTCAGGACTGCCATCACAACCTATAGATTACACAAAGCTTTGAATATACATGAACAGACAAAATTTCTGTTGCTTTATATTGTGAGGTCTTGCATTTCAGTATGTAGTGTACACAGTCAACCCTTCTGCATCGCAACTTTTCCAATCACGGTTTCGATATATTGTGGGATTGGCATAAGAAATGTAATGGTTTTTCCATTTTGTGAAAGCCACAGAGGACCCACAAAGGGCAACAGATGACACAAAAAGTTTAGTAACACATAAATGTATGTGTGGTTTGGAGGACGCTAAGTGTGTTTACAGCAGCCCCTCATGTGATATCTCGCAGTCATCTCGCAGTGATATTTATATCTGATATTGATAAAGAATAGATATTACTGCACTTGTTCTGATTGATTAATTTACTGATTGTACTGACTTCCTCAGGCGTTCTGTGGTGCATTTTAGGTTGATCAGTCTGTGGCTGTAAGTGCTCTTCTGTCCAGCTTAGACACTGTGATGTAGGTGAGTGGAATCGTCTATGATCGACTCAGTTGCATCCGCCACATTCAAACTGCTGTCCTAGCACACGACAGCATAGATGAAGGTATACTTACTACCACCGATTGGTAGAAAATCTGCAGGTTTGTGTTGCAGACTTATCAGGAAATAAAACCTGACCCTTCATGCAGAGGGCAGTGCAGTTCCCAGACCAGTCCAATATGCTGTCAAAGTGGACACCCAGGTACTTATAATCCCGTACAATCTCCACCACCTCACCTTGAATGGAAAGGGGGGGGGGGGGGGGTAATCAGAGACCATGATCTTCATTGTATTGCCGTTTTTATTCATTGTTAATGTATCTTTTTTTAAGAACTGAGACAGTCACAAAATGCTTTTCATTATACTGTGCAATATAATGACAATAAGGCTAATTCAAGTGGGAGAGCACGCACGGTGCTGACAGAAAAGTGAATTGAGTGGTCAAATTATTTTTATATTAATAGTGAAGAACAGATACAAATGAGAACAAATGCCAGGAGATGTACCAATGGGAAAAAAGAAATACAACTGAATAGCAAGTAGAAGAGCACATAGACACATACAAATCAGGTAGGTTGTGTGACTCAGACTCTCATGTGCACATAAACACTGTACATGGACCGGATTCGGAAGGGAAGTATCAGGTATCAACACTGGACACTGACTGTCACTGCTTGAATTCCCTGTTGGTAAATCAACTTCTCATCTATTGCACTAAAAATAGCATCGTGAGAGGTATCTATATAACGGCCGAAGAGTTAATTATAACTCAGCTAGCAGATGACACTGTACTGTTCCTTCAAAGAAAAATCACAAATTCCTTTTACAACTGATGCTATACACCGATTCTGAAAGACTTCAGGTGTCTATTTACATTTAAGTGAGTGTAAGATTGTTGCAATTAAACAGAACTGTCTTATTTTAATATCCCAATCAAAAAAGAAGTTTTTATGGGAACAATAAATGCTAAGCATCAACCTAAAAGAAGCTCTTAAAATTTTAATTCTATTATTGAAAAAACTCAAAAGAAACTTAACCAATGGTTACCGAGGGATCTTGAAAAGGTAGGTTTTAATTACTTAGGCAGAATGAATTTATTTGCCAACATATGCAGTGTTAGGTTTACCTGTTGACAAACAGACATGTAAAATAATTAGGGCTGAGAAATTTATCGAGTTATAACTTTGCATTAATTTGAAAGTCATAATGTGTGTTTTTTCCTTTGATCACCCTAATTCATGCAGTATTCTGTTACCCAAACATAAGAATAGTATATTAATAGATTTTAATAGAGACCAATAATGCTCCTTCCTCCTTATAAACAATGTGACAGTTTAGGTTGGAATGATGGCGGAATGATGATCCATGGTGCCGCCTTAAGACCAAAAACTGAATTCCACAGGAAACCAGAAAACAAAGGAACCATGAGGGGTCAAAACAAACAGGTAGACAACCAAATAATAACTTAATATCCACGCCCATAGGCAGGTTTAGTCCTATTGTCAGACCTGGACCTGGATCTCGTATCATAACCAGTCAGCTAAATCAAGGAGAGTAGGGATGCCACTCTGGGGGGGGGGGGGGGGGGATAGGGGTGGGGTAAAATCTGTGAAAGCTCCAGCGCAGGTCGTGAGTTAGATTGCTGAGCAATCTTGACATGTGTGAGCTACTCTAGCTGAACCTTACCTTTCCTTTTCAATTGATCCAACATTTAAATGAAGCTGCTAACTGTTGCAGAATATGCTGTGTTTCTTAGTAAACCCTAACCCTCTAATTCACACCTTAAGGGAGACCAGAACTACTGTTGATTGGCTACCTGAGAAAACTAATTGGCGTGGACTAGCAGACACTTCAGAGTACTATAAAAACCACAATACTAGTGGCATGAATCTAGTTCGAACTGAGTCTAGGAGATAGTAACCAAAAGACAGATTCCTACCCTACCAGCCGAGATGAATTCACAACAGAGCTTAAAGCACTGTTAGTTACAGTGTTACAGTATGGAACAGAACTACATGTACATTGTACATGAGCAGCAGTGCATTATGTGAAAGAGTTCAATGTGGTTGTTTAAAGTGCAGAGTGTCCACCACTGTTAATGAGTCCACAGCTCTGGGGAAAAGGCTGTTGGCATACCTTGTTCTGCGGGCCTTGATGGTCTTGAGTCTTCTACCTGATGGAAGAGGCTGGAAGAGGTGGTGTCCAGGGTAAGAGGGATC